TCTCTCTCTCTCTCTCTCTCTCTCTCTCTCTCTCTCTCTCTCTCTCTGAGCGCCTGAAAGAGCACCCATCATTAACTAATTAACCAACGCCAGCCTCGGAATCCCTTATTTTGGCATAATTCGGGATGAGAGAGGAGCCGTAAAACCAGGGACTTGGTGATGAGGTGCAGGTTCTTTTTTTTTCTTTTTTCTTTTTAGTTGAGTTCAATCACAAGACATTTCTGGATTTCATCGGACCTCCGAGGCATTCAGAAGAACTTTTGAAAAACTTGCGGGTCTAACTTTGAGAAGCAATGAGTTCGGTCCTCTCAAATGGCAGAGGTTAGGGATGGTCTTTGGAGACCTCCCCTCTCCTTTAGCTGAGGGAGACCTGGGCGATTTTAGGCCAAAAGCTGCCCCGGAGAGATTGATCAGAAAACGGACAGGAAAGCAAAACAAGAACACATTTGGGCTAAGGCCTTTTCTCCCATTCCCTCTGTTGCAATCTCACCATTTTTATCCAGACACAGATACGCGTGTGCTTTCTCTCCTGCCCCGCTGGTAGATTCAAAGACAACTAATGCGCGCTTCCCTCACCACGAGGCCGTTTCTATCGGCCGATGGAAGCTCCCCAAAGGCAGAGTCACCAGCCGCTTCTACTGGCCGATAGAAGCGGCTGGTGAGCCTGCCTTTGGGGGAGCTTCCATCGGCCAATGTTCTGTTGGTAGTAGATGAGAGTATTCTAGCCTAGGCTACCTGCATGGCGCTCCTAAAGGCAAGTTTTCTCCCCCCCCTCCCTTCCCCTCTTTTCTCTTCACCTCGAGTAGTTCTAACGAACGATGTGAGAAATGGCGGGGAAACGCATGGTTTAAATAGGCCTAAATTTTGGGGGGTGGGGCTTAATTTCACCTCATGCCTAGAAATCATGCTGGGCCTTCCTATTGGTGGGGGCCGTATTGTTGGAGAAACACGGCATTAATTTTCTGAGTTCCAGTTTGAGATTTATTGAACTGCATTGCCTGACGAGAACTGCATTGTTGCAAGCAGGTGAGTTAAAGCATTCAAACCCATCTTGTGTATGTATGTGTGTTTGTACTTGTGAAGGTCATGAAAACGGATGGAACCAGCAGAAGAGTCCTTGTGGAAGACAAGCTGCCCCACATCTTTGGTTTCACTCTGCTGGGGGAGTATATTTATTGGACAGACTGGCAAAGAAGAAGTATTGAGCGGGTTCATAAGCGGACAGCAGAAAGGGAGATCCTAATTGACCAGCTACCTGATCTCATGGGCCTCAAGGCTACCAACGTCCACAAGACCCTGGGTGAGTGTGTCTTAAACATCTAACTCCTCCCCTGTAAACCAAAGAAATTATTTTGTGGATACTTTTAAGTACCCTAACCACAAGAAAAAGGAATTTATGAGGCTTAGAAAATTCTCAATACAGACCCTTTCAATACCATCTAAAATTGGGAGGTTGGGGAGAGACCTTCTACTGATTGCAAAAGGTAATTACATGACCCCGGACGCTGCAATGGTCATAAGTATGAACTAGTTGCCAAGCATCTGGATTTTGATCACATGACCATGGGGATGCTGCAAAGGTCATAATTGGGACAAACTATCATAAGTCACTTTTTTCAATGCCATTGTAACTTTGAACAGTTGTTAAACGAACTGTTGTAAGTTGAGGACTACCTATATTTGTATTGGAGAAAGCAGTTTTGTCACATTTTCTGACAGGCTGTATTAGCTATTAGGATGGAATGTAGTCTGAAGTTGCAGGAGCAAGTGGCTCTTTCCCAGGAAACTAAGAGACAGCGGAGCTTGGAATGACTGGTGGGCAGAAGAGGGCAGGGATAGATCCTTCCACAAAACGTATCTATAGTTATTGCAGATAATTGCTTTAGTCAGGCAAGATTCTATCCGTGGGCGAACAGCCATAAACAGTTCAGAAGTAACTCCATTCTTTGGACCTGACCAGCTATGGAGCAATGATAAAGATTTAGCACCGCTAAAGGCTTCGTTTCTGCTTTCTTCAGGTACAAATCCTTGTGCAGAATCCAACGGGGGCTGCAGCCACCTCTGCTTGTATAGGCCCCAAGGATTGCGCTGCGCCTGCCCCATCGGCCTGGAGCTCCTGAGTGACATGAAGACCTGCATTGTCCCAGAAGCCTTCCTGCTATTTTCCCGTAGAGCCGATATCAGGCGAATCTCTCTCGAGACAAACAACAATAATGTTGCTATTCCACTAACAGGAGTCAAGGAAGCCTCTGCCCTGGATTTTGATGTGACTGACAATCGCATATATTGGACAGACATCTCGTTGAAGGTAATGTGGTCACACCTTGACCATGGTTAGCATATCTCTAGTGTATTACTAAAATGGATTGAAGAACATTTTATCAAGCCGGACTCACCGGACCAAGTTTTGTTCTTGTAGCAGATAAGTAAAGTCCAAATGCTGGAGATGTTAATACGTCTTCTCTTCTCTTCCCTCTTCTAAACAAGGTACAGGTAATCCTTGACTTACGATCACAATTGACACACAGCCCTCCCCCTCCCCCAAAAATTATGTTGTTAAGTGAAACATTTGTTCAGTAGGTTTTGCCCCATTTTACAACCTTTCTTGCCACAGTGGCTAAGTGAATCACTGCAACTGATAAGTGAGTAACCCAGTTGTTAAGTGAATCTGGCTTCCCTGTTGGCTTTGCTTGCCCAACAGTCACAAAAGTGGATCACATGACCTTGGGATAAGCAATGGTCATAAGTGTGAACCAGTTGCCAAGCATCTGAATTTTGATCACAGGATCACGGGGATGCTACGAAGGTTGTAACTGAAAAACGGCCATACGTCACTTTTTTTTTTTCAGTGCCATTGTAACTTTGAACGGTCACTAAATGAACCATCGTAGGTCAAGGACTATGTGTAGCCCCTTCTTTACTTTGCTCATGCTTGTTAGTAGTATCATTCCAACGAGGAGAGAGAAAAGTGCATCTGCGTTCTATTAGAGATCAAGCTCTATTTGACAAATAGCTTTGTCT